AAACTGTGGGGTGGGAGCTCACGAGAGGCTTGAACTAGGACTAGCCTTTTGAGTGCCGAAGCATATATTATATGCACGCCTTCAGGCATCTTCAGGCTTTTCTCCTGGGAGAGGGCCATACGGGGACAATTCCTCTGACGTGTTTTGATAGGAAGAACTTCTTCCAAAGCACATGCTGGCCATGTTTCAGTTTTCGTTCTTGGCGGACCCTGTGGAACCTTGTTCACGTTGCATGTTCGGATCCAGCTACCCCCTGTTTATTATTCATATTTCACACATGCAGCGCACAATGTGTTTGTTTGCTATTTGTGGTGTAAATGCCATGATTCCCTACACTCGGGGCTTCGCGCGCCGAGGTTCCGCAGCTTGCCCAAACCCTTCCTCTTCACCGAGTTCGGGTGTAACACCGGGGCCTTCCAGACGGAGTGCCTTGGACTCGAGCGCAAGATTCTATTGGTACCTTCCATTTGCATTCTTTCCCCGGATCCTTCTTTCTAGAAAACCTCCAGAAACCCAGGGAAAACGGCCGGGTTTTGGAAAGAACGATGGTTGAAAGGGGATTGCTCGACCGATTTTCCCTCGGCCTCCCCGGCTGAGGTGCCCCAGCTACAAGGGCGGCCGCAGCTGGACCCAGGTGGGCGCGATGATGGACGCCCGGCTGCGACAGATTTGAGCGTCGCTCCGGGCAAGGAGCAGATGGCTTTCGGGCCCCTATGCCAGACTTGACTGCTATTGGGTTGGATCTTTGGACTTTAACTTTTTGGTTGAAATCAAGTTGGGTTTTCCACTCAACCCCAAAAAGTTAGACTTGTTGCAGGGGGATCAACAGCAACCAAGGTCAAAGCCACGGATTTCCGTTCGCCTGATTTTGTTTCGCAAGGAGGTGAGGGTGGACTCTGCCACAGGGCACAACTGAACCAAGTTTGCAAAGGTATTATTTACGTTGAGAATGTTGTGAGTGTGCGCTTTGCGTGTGCAAATGCAGGCCCTCCACCGTTCCAAAACATCCGCAAGCACATGCGTCTGTCTAGTTGCTCTTCTGTTTGTAATGTGCAGCTGAAAAGCAGGCTGCCAAGATACGTGAGGTGGTCTATGAAAACTCGTTCGACTCAAGGGTCCCGCCCCGCCCGCTTCCATCTGTTGGTCTCCTAGTGGATCAGATAGCACTTTGGGACATGCTGCCTGGAGAGGTAGCCTCTTCGCCAGTAAACAGAATCTTTAGGAAGCCTCTCATTGCAGCCCCAGCTTCGTCCAAAGGACAGACCTGTTTGCATCCATGTGGAACCGAATTGAGGAGACCCCAACGGATCACCCCAAAATCCCTGAGTTCCTCACACTTGCTAGGAAGACCAGTTTGGTCCAACACAAGAAGTTGCTTGATTTGATTTTGCCAATCAATAATCCATCCACTCGAGAAGTGAGCCAACAAATGGGCCGAGCATTTTCCAACGTGACAGGGGTCCCCCCAACTCCCTCCCTGAGTTCCTGAAGGTTTCTTGAGGAAAAGCATTTTGGTACAAAGCTGGGAAGTTTCCACTTGTCTTTGCCCATGTTCTGGCCGGGGGTTACCGGGTTGGGACGTCACAGGACAAGATGGGGGACTTTGTCAGCGGCGCCATCGCCTTCGAGTTCTCCATGGAGAACAACGAGTACGGCCTGGTGCTGACCCCCGGCTTCCTGGCGGGCCAGGAGCGGGCGAACAAAAAAAACCGGCCTGGGGGTTTTGTCAAAGGGGTCCGGGTCCGGGGTCCTGTCTGTGTGTGTGTGAAGGCGTTTTGTTTTGGAGGGTACCCTTTCGTTTGAAGGGGTTATGAAGGGGTCCAGCTATTGTGTATGTGTGTGTGTGTGTTTAAAGGCTTTTTGAGGGTTACGCTTTTGGGGTGGGCAAAGCAAAAGGAACCCACTCATTGTGAGGTTCTTCAGGATTGAGACGAACCCAAATTTCCCATTTTGGGTGGTTCAATCAGCTTGTGGACGTTGTTTGAATTTCCTTTATGTGCAGGCGAATTTCCTTTTGGGCATTTATCACCTGAGAATACATATTGTTTTGGACAGGGTTTGGGTGAGGCTCCAAGGAAGGCCCTTTGTTTTTGCTTTTTTTTGCCAAAGTCAGGGAGGCACTCCGCAGGACGACCTGGTCCTGACGGACAACTACTTCGCGCTCAAGAAGCAGTAGCTAGGCATTTGGGGTGAGGCGGAGTCGGTGCACAGGGGCGTTGCTTTGGATCGGGTGGTGTAGCAAAGGCATGGCAAGCAGCAAGTCGTGTTTCTGGTATTGCTGCAAGAGGTCTCGTTGTCTCGTTGTCAGGGGTAACAACTTTCCTTCTGTGGCTGCTTGCCTGGGCACCAGTGCTGGAGATCTCAGGGTGCTTTACATTTTGACATGTGAGAAACATTTGTCTGCCTGTGGCGAGCTCACTAATTTGAAATTGGGGGTAAAACCAGCTAACCACCATGTAGGTCTTTTGCTTGAGAATCCCTTGTTTCAGGTGTTGGAGTGATCAAAAGGGGTGGGATAAAAAAAACAACGCAGACCTTTGACGCCTGGCAACCGCATGTCTCGAGCGAAGCTTCGCTTTCCCTGCCTTCTCTCAGTTCACAGCCCAAGCCTAGGTTCACCGAGGGCCACGTCTCTGGCGCCGGCACTCCACGAATGCTGCCGCTGTCCCAGTGCCCATCCAGAGCTGCGGCGGAGGCGAGCGATCGAGCGATGGTTCGCGACCCGTGGCACGCAGATTCGCATCTCAATGACGGCTGGCAGTGATGACAGAGGCCAACTGAGGAGGTTCCTCATGGTATGGTTGGGTGAAGCACTTGTCTTAAAACGGGTCACTGTTCCGGAGAGTGTACAACAAATTGGAGAGCACACATATATTCAAGTGAGTCGGCAAAGGGCAAAGGATACAGCTGGGGCTGTCTGGAGCATTGCTACACGCCATCCCTCAGTTGTATGAGCGTCATAGTCATGGGTCTATGAGGAAGCCATGGAAATGAAGAACCTGCTGATTTTGTCAGGGGAAGCAACAAAGCAAGACCTTGGCGGACGTGTCCCGTAGAAGATTTAGAAGAGTAAATTGATTGCTTTGTTGCACCTGAGTTCGCTGAGGGGGGACATTTCTTGCGAATGGGTGAATCGATTTATGAGTTCTTGTAGCCAGCCGCAAGCAAACAAACAAGGCTTGCCGAGATTCACGCGTCGTTCCCAAACTGTCTTCTGTGTTGTACGGCAGGGGTGCGCTAGGCACAAGGGGTCCAGACATTGAAGAGCCTTTCCCTGAGCACACAGCGAGTGGGATTGGACACAGGCTTGCAAACATCGATGAGCCTCGTCGTTGTACTTCGTGTGGGATCGCTTTTATATGGCTTGTCGAAAGCTTGAAGGTTGACAGTGATTTTGCTTCTAGCGTGGATCGAATGGTAGGGAGTCCATTTGCCTAGCAAACGTGCAGTGGCAATTCAACTGCGACCAGATACCAGACTGATTTGTGACTGCGGCCATGGTCGCATCCAATTGGCTCTGACCAATGGGCGGCAGTCCCAGTGCAGACGTGGTTCTTCTGTCTGCCATGTTTGTACGTTCCTTGGGGGGCCTTACTTGGGGGAAGAAAGGATTCTTGTCATGAAACAATATGCGACGAAGGAGGGTTTCACATTCAGACGGTTTCCACGACCCCAAACTATTGCCTTGGGTATCCACCCTGGCCCTTTATGTAGTGCTGTAAGCTGGCTTTTCCAGTGTTCACGATTGCCTAAGGGAGAGCAAGTACATCTCACCAAGATCAGCACGACCTAGACCACCTCTTGTACAAGAGCTGGGGGTGCTACAGGAAAAGACACCAAGGAAGCCATGCCTCAAGGCACCATGGAATGCGTGCGCCACGATTTTAAGCATAGGTGTCCTTTTTAGGTGAGCCTGGTTAAACATAGATGGCACTGGTTTAGATGGGTTTTGTTCCAGGTACCAGGGAACCCCATCGATTTTTCCAAAGGGCCACCCATGCAAGCAAGCCTTTCAATTCCATGCCCTGTGAGAGGGCCCCTCGCAGGAGCTGCAAAGGCGGCAGCAGGTGTCGGAGGTCTCTGACTGGACGCAGCTGCCGGCCACCCCTATCATGCCGGAGAGCACTGTGCTGCCATGAGCGCCCAAGACACGGGACTCGGGACGTCAAGCAAAGCACACTGGCCGTTTGAAATCATGAAGGCTCGTGCCTTTTGGGCGCTGCTTCAATTCGCATGCTGATGCCATGGGGCGTCGCTCTGTTTTCCCATGTGTTGCGGACACGTTTTTTCGCGAAGCAGGGGCTGGAGACTTGGCGGACGCACCTTGCGGCTGAGCCAGCCCTGCTCCAGCGGCGCAGGCACAAGAGCCGCCTGCCTTTTCGCTGGGCTTTTCAGGAAGCCTGAAAGGAAATCCGTCTGAAACTTTACAGGCCCTTGCTCAGCTTGGAAGAGATTCTGAGTGTTTCCTTTCAGCAACCTCATGGCAACCTCGTGTCCTTTTTCGGTTTTAACGTGAGCCAGGGGTGCTTGCGAGATCTTGCGATCATCCTTTGAGCCCCATATGAACCGGGGTCGAAACACCTACCTGGTGAATGAAGCCTTTGCAAGGAAGGGCTATGAGACGTTTTGACCACGGCTCATGCAATCCCAATTCCCAATTCAAACTTTAGACACTGGCCTGGCACAAAGTCCTCACCTCGCATGGTGGAGAGCCAAGTGATCAATTGCAATCGGACGCATGCGTGCAACAAGGGCCGTGCGAGTGAGCTGGCCTTGAACTCTGAGAGCTTGGGTTTAAGCAACCAGACCCGCAGAAGGTTGCCCCAACAGCAGGGGCCAACTCAAGCATGTTTAGTTGGATGTTTGGCCCCGGCTTCTTATATTAACCAAAAGCATGTCCGAGTTTCCCAGCGGTCCGCGTATTGGTAGTCTAGCCCCTGCTTTCTTGGACTTTGGGTGTTGCTTGGATTGCGTCGCTTTTCATATCCACGTGCACCAAGGAACGAGCCGGGAGGCTGGTGAATGCCGGGGTGACCCGCAGATGGTGAACTCGTTGTCAATCGGCTTGGTCAAAGCGGGGTCGTGAAGGTTAGGTCCCTTGCCTCCGGCTCAGGACATCTTTTTTTGCCCGGGCCACCTCAACAGTTTTTTTTGGGCAAGATATGTCTTTTGCGGCAGGCAGGCCGCAAGTTTTCGGGAATGCATAACGCGGCATGATTGCCATTCCCATAAGCTGGCAGAACTATGCCGCAGCAGTTTCCCCAATATCAGGCTGAACATGTGCTTGTGAAGGCCTATGCAGTGGGTGTGCAGCTGTCACGTGTGTTGGTGCACCTGTTCAAGAATGCGCCATGGTGGCGCTCGCTCTTGTTTCATCCCTTGTACTTTGCGGGGGCTATGCAAGGCAAGGCATGGAACATCCGGTTAGCTTAAGTATATGGGACATGGTTTGCTTTGGAGAACGCGGCAAAGAAATGAGCTGCACACGTGGTTTCGACTCTCACACCATTTCCCTTGCGAGGGACTGCCTGTCGTTGTGTGACTTGGGTTTCCCAGAGCTTGGGCAACCATTCAACCGAATGCGCGGAACTTCCATGGATCTTAGGGAATTCTGATTATGATTATGACACGTGGGTCGGTCTTTTCTGAGGGTACCATTTTTGTAGTTTTGCTGTGTAACTGGCAAACCAAAGGGAAAAAGCTCCCATTTTGGGGGGGGGAAGCCCTAAAAAGAACACCTACCCGGCCCTTGCTGGCCCTTGTTTCAGGGCCGCTGCCTGTTGCTTGCCGGTTGGGACGGCGAGATGCTACCGGTCGCCGCCGCCCGGCAGAAAAAGCGGCTGGTTCCCTGCCAGAGGGTTTCCTAAGTAGTGTTGACTCCTTTACTTGAGTGTGGGTACCCAAAATGGCTTGCAATGGTAAGACCATGTAACACCTGCTCATTACCGTTCAATTTTGACGCGTGCCCACCTCTTGTTTAGCACCAGCTTTTTTTGCTGAAATGCTGAAATGAGAATGCAGGGAACCCTAAACACCCACTGTGACCAGGCCCTTCTGTCGATGGCAGAAGAGGTCAAGCCGAGGTCACCCTGTTGGGGAGTTCGCGCTGCAAGGTTGCAACCATGGAAATAGGTGCAAGAAGAGCAAACAGTGAACTCAGCATCCAGTTGTATCCATTCGATATGACCCTGTTGCGGGCGCAGCCGCCGTGAGCACTCGACATAGATTCTGATGCCCTTTTTGCTTTTGCGCAAAGGCGCAACCTTCGCCAGCATTATCATGCTTGTCCTTAGCCTTTTGAAACCCTTTTGCACCACTTCGATCTGAAAGCGTTGGAGGGCTGGAAGAGTGCAGCTTCAAAAAGGGGCCAACCCAGTGTGTGGCTGAAACCACCTCCTATCAGCCCTGGTCTGCTCGAGAGGGAAAATGAGGTTGTTGACTTAACAGGGGTCTAATCTTGACCCAGTATGAATCATTCATCAACCCGTCCCATCATTAGGTGGGTGTTCTCTCCAAAAGTGGTCCGAATCCAACCACTAAAAGGGGACACCCCCCAATCAAAATCAGCCAGAGGTTCTGCTTCCGGGGTGACTGCCCCACTAAAAAAGGAGAGAGAAAAAAAGGGTTCCCTTTTTTTCTCCAGACTGAACAACTGAGTAAACGTACCCCCCAATCAAAATCAACCAGAGGTTCTGCTTGATCCGGGGTCATTAAACCTCTGCGTGGCGTGCGGCCGAAACTCTGTCCATTCGCCCTGAGGTTCTGCCCGGCTGCGCGGGCTGCGGGGCTCGGCAGCTGCTGCGCGCGGCCAAAGAGGTGCCTGGGGTCTTGGCTGTGTCTGGGGCGACCGAGGGGGGCGGGGGTGTGGCTGCACCGAGTTTGTTGGATTCCCAGCCGTTTGTCCTCCTTGCTGTTCTTTTGGCTTGGGCTCCTCCAAGGGTAGGTGTTCCATGGCACCCCGGTCTCCTTTTTCCCGAAAGCATTGCGAATCCTGAATCCGGTGCCGATTGCATAAGTCAAGTTGCACTCGCGAGTGTCATGGTCTCATTGAGGATTTGGTTTGTAACCATGCTAGCGACGGAGATGGCTATGCATCAAAAGAAACACTAGGTGTGATGCCATGTGACTGGATATCATTGCAGTTTTCCCGGCCTGTTTGGTTGATTCGCTTTCGGCGTCCCATCACGCTCAAAGGTGAATGGTTTTGTACCCAGTCGTGGCCATCGCTTTCCACACACTTATCTCAAAGATAACCCTTTGCGTGTTTGGCCTTGCTTGTTTTGCCTTCCCCATCCATCCCCATCCCCACAGCCCCCAGCCAGGTGAGGCCATCTCTGGCCGCACCGCCGCTCGGCGATCGGTTGCTATTGGGATCGTTCACAGCGCAGCTGTGAGATGGGTCCAGCAAAGGAGCCCTCCAAGTTGGATGTGCTAACATGCAAAGTTCCACCTGGAGCAAAGGGGTAAGGTCAATTCAAAACGGGTGAGCCAAGATGCGCATCAACTTGCAACCAATGCAAGGACTGTTTTTTTTTCTCAAATGGATAGCTCTTGTTGGAGGGCTTCATCCGGAAGTCGGCAGGCAACCCTTTTGAGTAGCCTCCCACGTATTTTCGCGACCACTGCGCACCTGAGTTTTCCGAGCGGCTTTTCGCGGATTATAGGGTGCTTTTAGGTCGCACGTGCCCCAAAGGCAATGCCTTTTAAGTCGCATCCTCAAATGCTTGGCAAGCCCGGAAATTGAAGCTGAGCATTCGCTACAGATCCGTCATCTTTAGCCTTGACCCATGCAAGGAATGCACGGCAGACCTGTATTGATGTGGTGAACAGTTGGTTTTAATGGTCGCGGTCGTTAGAAGCTGTGGGTGTTTGCCGGAATGTTCCCTTGCGAAGTCCTGCCATTTGCCAAACCTCGTCCTACCAACTGAAGCAACGTCATAACGTCACAGGGACATATTTTGTAGGGAGGGGTATGTTTTAGGAAGGCTTTTCGTTTTGTGGCGGGGAACTCCCGAAATCAATCCGCACCCTTTGTGGCGTTGTGGTCTAATCCTTGTGCTGACATTCCCTAGCCACAGGTTGCCCCCAGCAGAGTCCGCCCAAGGACCGGAGGGACGGGGGGGGGGGGGAGGGGTGCAGGAGCAGGAGCCCCTCAATCGCGGGTCTGGACAATTCTTTTTCGGGCAAGTTGAGGAGGTTGAGCACCGCAATGGCAAGGTATGTGGGGGGCTTCTACGGTCTGCACCTTCAAAAGTTGCCGCTGTTGTGGGCAAAAAGCTGATGCTCAGCGAGGGGTGTCTGACTTTTCTGCCTCGCAAGTAGCCCACAGCAGGCGCGGCGGGGGGTTTTCCGAAATTGAGGCACCACTGTTTTCCAACGGTTTGACAACATACACGGACGTGCAAGCCTATCTATAAAGATATAATAATATATATATATATATATATATATATCGTACGTATGTATACATATGTAGAGGAGCAAGCGCACATATGCATACATACACAAAAATACGCATGCAAGAGCATCTTTGAGTGCAGCCTTTGTCCTGCCATGTCCTTTCAATACACGGCATCACAGATGTTTGCATATGTTTCAATACGCGGCATCACAGATGTTTGCATATGCATAGGCATTTGTCGCGCGATATCGGTATATCCATTTTTTAATGTAAATGCCTGCGACGGCACAGGGAGCCATTTTAAGAGATTTGTCAGGCACACATAGCAGCATGCATCCAAGGTGGCAGCCAGGAAAGCTGTAACCTTGTGAACCCCAATTTCAACCACTTCTTGTGACAGGAATGGGGAATCATGTTGACCCCATATTAATCAACCCCAGGTTATTACTAGGGGGTGTCCCTAGTTTTGCTGGGGATTTGTCACTTTTGGAGGGGAACACCACTATATTCATGGGGTTGATTAATATGGGGTGAGCATTATCAGCCACTCGAGGAGTGCAGGCCATCCACATTGAGGGCACCCAGCTCTGGGCACTGCTTAGCGGCCATCTGCAGGCAGAGCCGCGTGTGTGAATCCAGCCGGGAGGGGCGGACTTCGGGGTGTGATTTGTGTCAATGCCATGTTGACTCCCAGCGGAGGGCTCATGTGGGTTCAGTCTCTTTCGCCCTTTGCGTCTTTTCGTTGCATGGCCTCAAAACTTTGCCTTGTCCCAGCTAGGGTCACTCAAAGCGCTAGTGGCGTCCCTTTCAAAAAAACAAAAAACAACAAAAAGGGGTTTCCGTTTTGAGGCAGAATGGTTTCACCTCAGCCAGCGAGCCATCTGCCTATCTGCCTAGGCCTGGGACCTCGCCAGCCCCAGGAGCGCGGGGCGCGGGGTACATTGCGTGGGAAGGGGCTGTGGTCAGGGCGAGCAAGAGCTGCTGAAAGAGCTGCTGATAGAAGCTGGAAAAAAGCCGAAAGAACAAAAGGCGCGTTTCGGAGCTCGTTTTTGTTGATTTTTGTGTTTTTGCCTCTTTCTAGCCAAGTGCCGTGAATTTGTTTGGGTGCGGGGGTGGAACGTTAGAAAGCCAGTTGCAATTCGTCATGTGCGATCTTGAGCCATGCGTGCCGACAGAGGGCGTGGAAAGCCTCGAGGGAGAAGGTAGCTGGAGGGACGTGCGAGGTGCGGGGGGGTGTACTCCAGTTTTGAGCAAGGCGATATTTGTCCCACAGAATCCTGGGATCAAGAACCATATTCAGACTGCTGGACCAGTTCTCCTGATACGTCTTCGACTGATGTGTTTGAGGGAGTTTTGTTTTCTCCTTTTTTTTCTTCAGGTAAGTCTGTAGCATGTTCCGCTGCGGCAGACTGTTACCACATGGCTAGCTTGCAGTTGACAGATTCTGCTAGAGAATGCAGCCTTCAGGCACCCGCTGTTGTGTGCTCCATTCTCTGTGACCATTTGGTTTAGATAGCCGCTGTCTCAGCAGGATTCTGAACCTGGGAAGTCGGGTGGGGGGGGGGCCTTAGCTGCTGCGAAATGTTCATGACTGCCTATGCTAGTTGCACTGATCATAGTTGGCACCGCTTTTTGAGGACTCCCAGCTGGCATACGCTCATATGTGCTGACACAAACAAGTACTACGTTGCTGAACATTCGCCTAGAGAGACTTGGTTCCCTTTAGGAAAGGGACCTGGCGGCTGTTTTAGTTGGTATGAGTCAACAGCTCGGCGTCTTCCTTTTCTCGTTCTATACTCAAATTGCCCTCAACTTCCATGAACTCTGTATATGTGAAGGGGCACCTGCGAGTTTGCCCGATTGTGGCCTTACCTTGGGCTCGTCCGGGCAAACCTCATCTGCAATAGTTCAGAGATGAAGCCGCATCCTAGGTGGGCCCCGAACTGGTGGTTCGGTTGAGCACCCTTTGAACCAACCTCAAAAAAGGTGCCCCTGAGTTCCGTTTCGGACTCTAAGCCTGTTGGGCTTCGGCCATTTGAGTGGCACATGGGTGTTGTTTGCTAGGGCAAGCCCTCGAAATGGTGGTGTTCCTTAAATGTTTCCCTTAAGAACCACCATTTTGGCGGTGTTTCCCTTAAAAACCCAGCAGCCAAAAAGCCCGGAGACCGATTTTGGCCGCTTCGACCGGAAGGAGTGGGCGATGGGTGCTGCACTGGCCCGCGGAAGCCCTTCCAGTGGCCTCCTGGCCCAAGCAGCTAGCCTCGTCCATTCCAGTCCCAGCTCCCCTCCCACCCCGAAGCCATCTCACACCCAATCCACCAATTCCAATTCAGTCCAATTTTAAGAAACTCGACTGCTATTGGGTTGGATCTTTAGACTTCCCACTTTTTGGGAAGTAAAGGTGCTTTCCACTAAACCCCCCAAAAGAAAAAAGCTTTTTGAAGGGGGGTCAACAGCAACCAAGAGATGATTCTTGGTTTTGTTCATGTTTAGAAGGGGGCTGCGAAGCACACAGCTGTTTTTGAGTTGTTTGTGTTTTTGTTTAGTAGGGGGGCTGCCAAGCACAAAGCTGTTTTTTGTTTTGTCTTAGTTGTTTGCGTTTCTGTTGGTAGGGGGCTGCACAGCACACACTTTTTTTGGTATACCACACCCAGTGGACAGCAAAATTCATGGATGCCACACACGTCCCATGTCCGCTCGGGTCCCGCGCCCCAGGTGGGCATTTGCTTCACGAGCTGCAGCGAGATGGAAGGCCGGCGCTCGCCGGTTGCCGGGGTTGCCGAATGTGTCGCGCAAATATCCGCGCAAGCGGCCGCATCCCTGGCGGCGCTGCCGTGGTTGTTGGGAAACATGTTTTGTCATTTTTGCTTATTGTGAAATCCAACCACTTAGCTGCTAAAAATTAGGGCTTTTTTCAGGCAGGCCGGGCGGCTTATCGGCGAGCTCCCCGCCCCGCGGATCAGATGTTGCCTCAGGGCCACCTCTCGACATCTACCTGGGAAACCCGCGATACGCCAAGCTGCATTTTCGAAGGGTGTCCGGGGGAGAGGGAGCACGCAAGGGCCTTCCAAGCTCCAGCTTTCCCTGAACCAATGCGACTCCGACCAAAAAAAGCAATTCGTTTCGCGGTTGAACCGGCCACGCTTCACATGGCCATAAGTCAAAATCCCCTATCCCCAGTGAACATCCCAATCCCACTGAAATAGACTAAAATGGGTGGTGCACCTACCCCAAAATGGTACCATTGGTTTTGACCCACAGCCACATGTGCAGGCCCAGACGTCCAGCCAGGAGCTGAGGGTGAGCTCAAAAGGTTCGGCTCGATTGCGAGATGGACAGGTGGTGCTTATAGGTGTCCGTCTTAGGTTAGTTTGGTTAGAAACAGATGGCACAGGTTTAGATGAGTGTTATTGCATTTGCCAGGGCCATCCAGTTTTCAAAAGGTCACCTATGTCGTTGCAGTTATGACATTCAGGTTGCTGCAGCATTATGGGAACTGCAAAATCACGACCTTCTGCACACGCGCAACAAAGACAACAACCAAGAAGCGCGCGCGCTCACACACAAGCACACATCCAGACAGCCCCACGCACAAGCATACGGCCAGACAACCACAACACACGCAAACAGAGACAAATAAGAAAACAAGCAAAGCAAGTCATACATACATCAGTATGGAGACAAACAAGCAAGCACACAAACAAACGGGCAGGACACAGAAAGACAGACAGACGGACAGACAGACAGACAGACAGACAGACCGACAGACAGACAGACGACCCCCCCCATGCACACCCACGCATACAAACTTGCCCCTGCAGAAGCTTGCACTGACAGGCAACCACTCACCTGCACACGCGCCCGCCAAAGTCACCCCCACACGCGCCCCCACTCGCCCCTGCGGGGCGCACGCACCCGCACCCGCACCCGCATCCACAAGCGCACTCACAAACACACCCACCCCCACACCATCCCACACCAACAAACACGCTCGGCCTCAGAGCAAAGTTCGTCTCCGGAAAAGCCATAGCAAGCCAGTTGACATGGTGCCTTGGTGAACTGGCCAAATGTCCAAATGTAAACCTTCAGCCGTTTGCCGTTCAAGATTTCGCCGTGTGCAACGTTGTGCCTCGCGGCGACGCCCGCTCCGAGGGTCCGATTGCCGAGGCCTTTGCTGCTGCTGTCAAGGCAAGGGCCTTCCTTGCTGCGGGCTTCTGCCGCTTGGGTCACAAGTTTAGGATGCAGGCTTGGGGGGCATCCTTGGCCAAACCTTATATGTCGGCCTAAAGAAGGGTGGAGGCTAGCCCCTGAATTAGAATCGCAAGATGATTGGCCAGGCAAGCCAGGGGAAGACATTGGGCCCAGTTGCTTTTATCTACTTTACGTTGACAAATCACGGATTGGTCTGTTTTGTCGGGACCATCAAAAAGGACAATTCCAGCAAAATGGCTGCAACACACTGGATGTGCCAGCAACACAGTTACGCATAATTTTGGTTTGCGGGGCCTTTCATTTTCTGTTTGCATAAAAGTATTGAGCATAGGCATAGGTGCACATATTCGTGGGATAAGTGCAAGTCCGCACAGCAGACAGGCGATCCGAGCTGAGGTCCCGCGCATCTGAGCCATAGGCCCTAGCCAAGCGCATCCCGCGAGTCATGGAGCTGAACTCTTCAACCCGACGCCATAGGTGTCCTCTTTGGTTGTTTTGCTAGAGTAGATGGCGATTCCTGGCTTACCTGGTGGTTGAATCATCTACCAGGGAAACCCATCTATTCCCCGAAAAGGACACCTATGCTCGACGCCTCACAGTCTGGGCAAGAGAAGCTGCACCTTGTACAGACGCATGTGGCTCGCTGCCGAGTTCTGCGGGCAAGCTTCCAGGCGACAAATCGGTGGATGTACAAACTGCCAATCACACCAGAACCGCGCAGCCAGATCCATGTGCGAGCCCACCTTGCTGAGCCTCTGCTTCACGTGACACTCACGCATTCAAACTTCAGCCCTCGTTCGGCACAGTTTGCCCGAGGGCTGCTCGAGATAAGCTTTAGCATTCGCACAGGCTCGACCCATAACTATTCCTGTGAAGACATTATTGGGCTTGGTTTCGATGCACAAAAGACTTCTAATCATCGCATGGCAGCGCTGGGCGGCTCTTTTGTGGCAGGCTTCTACCAGAGCAGCTTGGGAGTGGACGCAATTTTCAGATGTTTTGAGGTTTGCGTCATATTTTTCCGAATTCGCCATGTGGATGAATCATGATGGCTGATGCATTCAGCTCATTCTTTCTATGTAACATGCGGTATGCAGGTTTGCATGGATGTTGGACATCTTCACTCTGGTTGCGTGCAGGTTTGATGCAGTCCTCCATGCACATGCTTGTCATTGGTTGTCCAATCTGATTCAGAACAAAGCATGGTGCCACTGATTTTCCACACCTCTTTGCATGGTTCCAGGTGCCAACAGCAATGTAATTAGTGAATGTATATCATTGCTGGTAGTTGCTTGTTTAGTCATACGTGTTTGCAGTTCATATTGTCACATGCTGCTGCGTAGCCACTCCCGAGCAGCTGCCCATACGCTGCAGCAATAGCAAAGAAAAGTTTCCCGGCGGGCTCATCTAATCTAGTTATTTCTCCCCCAGCCCCAACCTGGCTGGCGTTGTCACGAGAACCTTTGCAGCCGTGAACCCCTTGTTTTTGCAACCAGGAGATGCTTTGACCTGTGACGGATGCCCTGCATACCCTACGGAGAATGGGGGCTCATGGGACTGCCTTTTGGACGTCAAGGCATTCTTTGCAGCCTCTTTCAGCACTTGGTGGGAACCAATTCATTCCTCGTGCGGTTTTGCTCGTTGAATGGGATGGCAGGGCCTTGATTCAGAAAGAGTGGTACAATACCGAGGGTTTCACATGAATCTGAATCATTTGAGAGGTATTGCAATACTTGCTCCACTTGCTCTGGCTCTGAATCAGCATTGGCAAGGCCTTACTGGCATATGGCAGAATACGGTTGACGCGAGTATCAGGGCTTCCGCTTATAGCAGTGAGTGCGTTATCCATGGCTCATTGTGCTTTGTGCCCGGCAGCTAGGTGAACATCAGCAAGTGACACGCGCTTGTGGTATTGTGGTTTTGTTTGTAAAGGTCCCTGCGCAACACAGCGTTAGGTAGGGAATATGTTCGCCTTCCGCATTCTGGCCCAGCCAACGCTACGAGAAACCAGGCCCCCCTCAAAACAGCTCAGCTGGAAGTCGCGGCGGGTCAATGTGGCAATGTGCCTGCTATATATTGTGAGGTTGCTGTAACAGTCTGTTTCATAAAACAAATCTCCGGTGGCAAAGCAGCTTGAGCCACATGCGTCTCGCAAGAATTGTCAGAAGCACAAGTATTTCCCTTTGGGCCTTGAGTGAGCAATCAATCCTTGGCTAGAATGCTTGGCTTGGTGCTTTGGTGCCATCTGTTTCGCAGGATTGCACCCCCGAATGCTTCACTCTTCTTTTTTTTTCCCGGCCGGCGCCGATCTCTGCTCGCGCCATGGGAGATCGGGTTGAGAAGGCCCTCTTTGATTTGGAGGCGCGGGAAGAAGCCTTCCCGGGGACTTTAGCACGCCATGGCTAGGTCTCTCAAAGTGGCTGAGGGCGCCATTTTGGTCGTTGAGCCACTTCAAGCTTTGAACATGTCCAAGAGCCCCATGTGGGTAGCAAAACTTGAGAACTTCCCAAGACTCAGTTGTTCCGTGGCACCCTTTTTCCTTTCTTTTTTGGCGGCCCCACTAAAAAATGTCTTCCCCATTCCTTTTTTTCCTCCAGGGTCACGGAACAACTGAGTACACCTGTGGATTTGGGGCTTCAGGTTTTTTCTGGAAATTCATCCCCGAGGAGTTGAAGCTCCGCCTGGCCGCTGCGCGCCTTTCGAGCGGAGTCGGCGAAGCGGGCTCCGGCGAGGGCGCCGACGCGTCGCCGGAGGGGGTGGGGTGGGGGGGGAGCAACGGGCTTCGTTTGGTCTCCAAGGCGATTTTATGCCGCAGGGTAGGCGCAGTGTGAAACAGAAACATTAAAAACACGTTCACTGGATTCCGCCGCAGGAGGAGGGGTCCTTTGGCACCCCGCTGGAGTTCTTGCAGCGTCAGGTCTTGGAGCAGCTTGGCACTCGCTGGCTCTCAGGTGCTGGGAGAGAGTGCACGTCATGCAAAGGCTTGACGCACTGCATGTGTCAATCTGGCTGCTCGACAGGGATGTCGCTGCAAGAGAGAGGGAGAGAGAGAATGAGAGAGAGAGAGAGAGAGAGCGAGAGAGAGAGAGAGCGAGCATTGTGTGTAAATGCTCGCCCTGCTGCCCCATTGCATGCTTGTCGAGTTTAAATTGCGACTGCCGCACTGCCTTCTGTAGGTCCCAATTCAGTTTGCATATCCTAGAGGTCAAATTTTGGCATTTTTTGGCTCACCTTATGGATGAAGATTGGGAAAATCAATGAGCCCATGCATTACTTACCGGCCTTGGCTTGGTTCATGTCTTGGCTCAAGGCTGGAGACGGCTTTGCAGGCTGCTGTGCTGCGGCGGAGCGCCTTGGCAGAGGCCGGATCCCCCGGCAGAGTCAGGGGTGGACGGAAGGGAGGCGCCAGCCTTCCAGGGGTTGGTTTCCGTTTGGTCGTTTGGTATGTCAGGAGACGGAAAGAGAGGATGTTGTAGACATTCAATTAGTTTGAGCCCAGGGAGAGAGAATGCCAGACGTATGGCGAAGCTCAGGTGTGGAGTTCGCAGAGCAGTCTGCTTAGCTTGAAGGCTATTTGGCAGTTGATGTCCCTACGCTTGTGCACATAGCATATGCGTCCCATTCGCCCTGACCCTCAATTGCTTCCGTGGTTGTTTGGGGCCTTGAACCCTAGCCCCTTTGAGGCCAAATGGGGAGGCACCCCCTAGCGTACACACCGAACAAAGCCACGGGCCAGTTTGCACAAAAGTCAGGGCGAGAGGTTGGCGGCAGCTGCACACAGAGTTCGAACGCGCATGAGTCCTCGAAACACCAGCCCAAACGAGCAAGGCCAAACTGCACACAAGGTGGAACATTGATTGCCTTTTTGGCGTCCAAGCCAAAGTTCAGAGACCCCCAACAGCATCCCAAAATGGCTACAAACTCAAAAACACAGGTGTGTCATTTTTCAAGGACCCCCCAAAATGGTGATTCTTCTTTTTGGTTTCCCTTCACAACCATCCCAAATCGGGTTGCGAACTCAAAAAGCTCACACCCAAATCTCCTTTTTTCAATTGCCACCGGTGCGCAGGCCCAGCCCCAGCCGTCCCCTGGGTTGTTGGCGCCGGTCCGCCTGCCGCAACGCCGGCCGCAGCGTGCAGAGGGCCCCCAGCCGACCCTTGGCCGCAAGCGGGGTGCAGGGTTCAAAGTTTGTGCCTGAGAGTGCTGACAATCACTAGGTCCCAGTAGTGCCCTTTCTCACGCCTTTTTTTGGGTGGGAGGGTTCCCCTACTAAAATAGACTACAGAAAAAACAGATGGTACCCTGGTTCTAACGTCTCTACTGGAGGACCTAGATCAAGTGAGTTACATTCTTTACCTGCAAGTGGTTTGTTGGCGATGTTAGGGCTTTTGCGCAATGAATGCAGCGCGCCTGCAGGTAGAGACAGGATCCTTGCCGGCTTCATTTCACTTCTGTTGTCAATGACACGTATGTCTCTAAGATCCCTTATTGCTGCTTTGTAGGGGCAAAAAGCAGTTGTTGTGGGTTGGACTCGCGGCGCGGTGCGAGATGCGTCTCTGCGCGCGCGTTTTCTGAGCTGATAGCAGCCCTGTAGATTGCCGATGACTGTCGCACCAACTCCGAAAATGGACTTGTCGGAGCCGAAACAGGGATGCCTGCAACACTGCAACTCGCACGGACGACTCTTGTGGTGAGAATTCCGTTATTGCAGGCAGCATGTTTTTACCGAAGTGCTGCCTTTTGTTTTTGCACGCAGCTTATAGAGGACTTCCGGGAAGTGAGAGGCTTAAGTTTGTATTATGTGTTTTGCTTTAGTGTTAATCTGTTTCGCTCAAGTTAGGCATGGCCACCATGTACGAACTGCCATTCTTCCTGTCGGCTGGCTCTGTGCCCAGGCCAGGCCCTGCAGTGCTGAACTACTTCAAGGAGAAGCTGGATGAATGTTTGGAGGAGGGGTGTGGCTGGTATCCCTGCGCTGCGCGAATGGCTCCGCGAGGGAAGCATGCGTAATCAGGGTGCTGTAGGGATCTGTTGGGTAAGCATGGCTCAACCGATGTGATCAGGGCAAAGGGCACGATTGTTTGCAGTCGCAGATCGCATTTTGCCACAGCGTGATTGCGTAGCCGCTGCACATTTTGGGACGCTGGGATGTTCACTCGAGTTGTGAACAGGGTCCATTCTGGGGATGCTGGGCGATGCTCGCCGCTGGTTTATTCTTCTTAGGTTCTTTGGCTGAGCACTGCGTGAAGGATTTTGGGCTCCTACATAGTTTAGGGGATTGGAGGATGCGTGATGTTGTTTCACGGGATTAGTGTCCTGCGCCTTGCCTCATTTTCCGCAACCGAGCCGCAAGCCAGGACCGGCGGCGCTTCTTCGAGCGACGCTTTGCTGATATGGGGTGGGCATTCATGCCGCTGTGCCAGAGCGCTACCCTCTTCACAAAGAGCATACCTTCGAAGCCGGACTTGTCCGTTCCAATCCTTCAGGAGCCATTGTAAGTTGCTTCAAGAAGTTACCGTGCACGAATTAGCGCCAGATATGTTGGGTCATGCGTGCCTGTATGGAGCAACCTGGGTTGTTTGGCATGTATGCCCGTTCCGATATCAACGCCGAGGAAGTGCTCCCTCAAAGTTGTGCATCAGTTTGAGGCCTTCAAGCTATGTTGTTGGCAATCAGGTGTTTTTAGCGACTCTACTGAAATGTTTAACACCTTCAGGCCTCTCGCTTGCTTGCCTGCCTTCCTGCCTGATTGCTTGCTTGCTTGCTTGGTTGCATGCTTGCTTGCTTGCTTGCTTGCTTTTGCTTGCTTGCTTGCGAGCTTCCGTGCTTGCTGTTTGGTTGGTTGTTTGTGTGTTTGCTTGTTTGTTTGATTGTTTCTTTGTTTGTGCACGCGAGTTGGGGCCGGTGGATTCATTTGCACGGGCTTCATCAGCACTTGTTGAGGCCAATCTCCCTTTCTTCTTTTCCATGTGTATGGCTTTTCATGATTGCAATCCTGGCGGAGCCTGACTCGTTATTTGCTTATGATGCCCTTGAAACGTACTGGAACCACCCTCTCCCCCTCCGCCCAAATCAACCCTAAACGCACCCCACACCAACCCCAAACTCACCCTAAACCAGCACTAAACCACCCCATGCCCTAAAATAGGCCTCAACACACCTGAACCCCAAACCCCCCCCCCCCAAACTCTAAACCTTCCCTATACAAACCCTGCTTTAACCTAAACAGACCGTACGCCCACGCTAAAGAACCCAAGCCAGCCCCCCAAAGCAGAGCGTGAAGCAACGAATCTGGTGCTGCCGGGTGGTTGAAGAGCGATGCCGGTGCTCGTGTGAAACAGTTGCATTTGTTCGACAATGCTACAATTTGCAGCGATTTAGTGGCCGCCGAACCTAGAAAAAAAGAAAGAAAAACAAACACGCCGAGGGAACCAGGCGGGGAGAGTGTCTTTCGCTCCCAGCGACCTTTTCGCCTTCCGAGGCTACCTCCTCCTGCGGGAGCTCTGCCTCTCGCGGGCCTGCGGCTTGCCGCAGCTGCGCCCAGCTGTGCGGCTTGGCCGGCAACTGGCCTTTGTGCCTTTGGACGCCTCGTCACAGAGCCCACAGCCAACGGCCAACAAGCAACCGCCAACAAGCAACCGCCAACGACGCACAACCAAACAGCCAACAATCAACAAGCTACAGCTAGCAGCCACGTGTGCCCGAGTGTTTTTGCTTGCCAACGGTTTGCTATGAGGGAGGTTGAGGGAGGTTGGCTTGACAAGCATGATTTGAAGCTGGCTTCGACAAACCATGGCGGATCATCTAAGGTGGCAGGTATGCAAGTTTACAGGGGGAAGGGCACCCGCAAAGGGAGGTGAAGTGATAGCCTGCAAGAAAGCAAGTGTAAACTAGCAGCCAAAACTCAGCCCAAGGATCTCCAAGGGCAGTTCTGGTCGTGTCTCACGCGTCTCTAAAGATTTCCCAAACCCGCCCATGGGCATTCAAGGGATCGAATGCCATTGTCCTCCACAGGTGGAACCTGAAAGGAGCAGCCAAACAAAGGCTGCGCTTCGCCAGGTCTCAACCTTGTAGGGGCGACAAGCCGACTCCCGAGGAGGTTCGGAAGGGATGGGAAGGGGCGATGGGGTTGAGTTCCGAAGGAGTTCCCATGCGGTTCCCTTCGGACCGAAAAAATCCACGGCGCAAAAACCACCAGTTGGTCGGTGGTTTGCGGCATTCACAGGGTTTCATCGTTTCCAACTGGTGCGAAGTGCGAGCCAGCTGAGAGCTGGCGACTCTGACTCCCTGAACCGCAATTGCCACTTGCCATAGTTTGCGCTTGCCCAACTATCATCTTGTGAATGCATCGCAGTTCCTTCTAAAAGCCCTGACCCAAGCATCAGAAAATTGGGGAGGTCCTTAGCTGTTGAGTCACACAAGCAATTACATTTGACAGCTGTTTTCGTCCCGAAGAGTCGAGCCTTTGACCAGTCAACTCAGCTCAGGGTCAATGGCCATTGGATGTTGCCAGGTGCTGGCAGAATGGGAGCGCACATGGCTGCCAAGTGACCAGGCCGGCCTGTCACGCGCGCTTCGGCCCACTGTGGTTCCGGGATCTGCCGACTGCTTGTCGCCTTGTAAACTCCTGGCCGGGCCGTTATGGCACCAACCCCTTTTGCAGGTCAACCGGTTTGAAGCCATTTCTTCAATGGAGGCAGTGAGTTGTGCCATGCGCCGTGCTAGGTTCAATGGAAAGTAGTCCATGCGCCTTCACCGCGAGTCAGGTGGCATATTCTTGGAGGCCTATTGCGCCCTGAACTCTCTTGTTTGCCTTTACGCTTGTTGACTCTTTGCAGGTTTGCACTTTCTAGTCACTGTGGAGGGTGCGTTTGGCAGTTGTCATTTGATATGGCACCTTTTTAGTTGATATTTCGTCCCCGGCCTGCAACAAGTTGAAGCCAGCCTGCTATTGAATTCTTAGCGACAGAGCCGCTTCGTTCATGGTGTTTCCGACATGAGCGTTAGCTTTTGATGAGTGCTGTCCGTGCTTCAACTGCGCTTGGCAGCCGCTGTGCTTGACACGTCAAGACTCCCAGGGGTTAGGAGATATGTAAAGAGGCCATGTTCCAAACCAGCGACGCATCATATGGTGGACAAGCAGTGTTGCGTGGGATCCTTTGTATTGTCAGGGGATGTGTTGAACTCAGCGCTGGCAGATTTCCGCATTGCATTACGGTTTTGCGTGCGGAAGCCTCTTGGATCCTCTTTTCTAAGTGTGGCTTGCGCCAAGGAGCTTTGAAGCAAGTTGCAGCAGCAACACATTTTCGGGGGGTTTCAACCTCGCCTATGTTTGTTTGTTTCTTGGCACCCCTATACCCCTATTTTGAGGTTGGGGGGCGCGTCAATGACGGTTTGCTCCGTTTGGTTTGACCCTGCAGGATGCCTTCCTGTTGGCGTGATGAAGGTCATTGAAGGTGCCTTTGGAGAATGCTTGTTTCAGGTGTGTGGCTTATAGCATGTTGATGCATTTTGTGCGTGATTGCAAAACAGCAGCAATATACAATGCCATCCCACGTTGTGTCATGATTAATCTCAAGATATGCATATTTGACACACATACATGAGGGATCATGAGGGAAATAAGTCACTCAACTGTACAAATGTAGATGTATATATATATATATATGTGCATATTTCGGCTTCCGACTTCCAATTCTCAGCTTCAGCATTTCTGCTTTTCTCTGCGACTTCACCCCGGATCGATCCCCCGGACGACGTCCCCAGGCGCTGTTGGAGGCGCGGGTGCTGCGCGCCCGCGCCCGGCATCGGCGTTTCTTCGAGGAGGTCCGCGCCAAGGAGCCGCGAGAACGGGCTCGGAAACGGGAAGGGGGCACCTGTTTTCGGAAAGGAAACCATAGGATGGATGTTGGTTGTTTGCTTCTTTTTCTTTTTTTGTCTTTGTTTCTTTCGGTTGGCTTGAGGCTGTGGGGCCTAGCAAGGGCTCCAAGCCGATTTTTTAGAGGAGCTGGGGCTAGCAAAAAGCCGGGTCTAGCAAAAAGAAAACACCTCAAGCCAAGGGCAGGCAACCCCTAATTGTCTGTTTGGATTGCTGGTTTGGATTTGGATTACAACCCTCGGTTCTTGTAAAGGCCAAATGAGAAGCCACCCCTTCACCACCAAAGCAGCAAAGCACCAATCCAAGCCACCAATTGTATATAGGGAAGATGAAAGCTTAAACCACATGGGATCCAAAAGGTGTTACAACCTTACCATACTAACCTGGCGAATCGAACACCCAACGGCCGAGGAGACAAAAGGCCGAAAGCCAACCGGTGGAGTTAGTTCAATTTGTGTGTGTTTTTCAGGTGGCTATTGTTTCAAAGGCCAAGCAGAGGGCAGTTCGAACGTAGCCCAAGACATGCGTCACTTGAGCCGGAGCTACCAGAGTCAAGTGTGCCTGGCATACTTGCTGAAATTCTGCAAAACACCCCGCACCTCGAAAGGGAACCCCCTTTAGAGTGACTGGGCATTTGGGGCTGAGATCCCCTTTTAGATGGTGTCAGCGGGGAGGGGCAAGAATGATTTTCGGATATTTTCGGTCTACGTTTGACTTTGCACCTGCGTTTCGCCGCACTTGCGCAATCGCCTCACTTGACGCTTGCATGTGTCCATTTGCTGGGTGATCACATCTACACTCCGTGGTTTAAGATGCCCTGTCTGAGGTTCGACCCACCTGAGGACCCGAGGAGGGGCGCCTGAAGTGAACTCTGGGCCCAGGAGATGCGGGCGGAGGCGCTGCTGCGCCAGGGCGAAGAAAGCCGCGGCCTGGACGCGGAGCGGCTCGGCGCTACCGGGGAGCAGCGGCAGAGCTATGGCTGGATTGGTTTGCTGGTGCGTTAGGGGGGGGAATGCGGGAATGAGCCCGGGAGAAACCATCCCCTATGGTTTCTTGTACGGATCCCCAGGTTCATTCCCACATTCCCTACTGAGCACCAGCAAGCTTATGTGGCTCAAGAGTTTGGTGCCATTTTACATCTTTGTGACAGAAATAGTTTTACGTCCTAGGTTGATTCGGTGTTGAACGCTCACCAAGTTCTGGCCCGCAAGATTCTAAGATTCCACACATGTTCACCCATCCTTCTCCCTGTTTTGGTGAAGGGAATGATCCTTGAAGAGAGTGGGAAAGGCAAAGCTAGAAAGATGGCACACTGTACAGCCGATGGTGCAACGTGGTACGTCTCAAGCATGATGGTTTTTTGTTCGGTTCTACCTTTCTCTTGGCTGTTGGAGTCCAAAAGCAGGTTGGCACGTGGGCTAGTGAGGTGTAGCCCCTTCGGCTTCAGCCATAGGCGTCTGTTATTTTTTTTTGTTTAGTTCGGTTGAGAAGTGAATGGCCCTGGCAGACCTAGTCATCTACCACGGCCATCTATTTCGAAAAGGACACATGGTTTCAGCTGGTGAGATCCTTCATCAATCCTGCTCAAGCTTGGGTTTGTTGGGCACAGGGTAGAGGCCAATCAAATTGAGAAGTGGGGGCATGAATCAGGGGAGTCTCATGCAAACACAGTTGCGTGCTGAAATGCCTTGAAGCGCGGATCCATTTTTCTAAGTTGGGGTGTCTGTGATTGATTTCTCATTTGTTTTTGAATATTTGTTTTTGAATTAACGGTGTTTTGAAAGCCGCGGAACAGAGCGAAGGTCGTGGCATTGTCCAAGGTTTCAGGCAGCTCCGCGGAGAAATTGGTGTACCAACAGAGAAGCCAACCGGTGGTGGAGAACGTGCCCTCTTTTAACGTGCTGGTGTCTCGTCAATCCAGAGAGTAAGTGTAACCTGGGTTATAAGTCACCGCTGTTGATTGCAATGCAGCCATGGTCAGTCATAACCTACTGAGTGGTGCTGTTTGACCCGCATCCGAGCATGGTGATATTAGCCAGTCTTCGCATTTCATCTTTTGGACCGGGCAGCATACTTCTGCGCTTAGATATGGTCCCAGCTTAATATTTGCTCATCCAAAATCGTTCAAACGAGTGCTCGACATCATCGTTTGGTCAGCTGCATGTTGTCTAGAGAACCGGACCAAAATACTGGTACCAAGCCGCGAGCATGTTCCGAAGCCCCATCGCCCATGACGCAGAGCGCGCGTGGGTTGCACATCCAAGTAGAGTTGAGTGAGAGTGGATGGCACTTGATGTCACGACGGCACAGTTCCGACCCATTTGTGTTTGGTCGTTCCCTTTAATGGGAACCGCAGACGAAGAAATCCCTGGCTTTCATAAATAGAAGGGTGTTCCCTTTTTGTGTGGGCATTCAGTTTTTGGAGGGGACACCTCCCTCTGTTGCACGTGTCTTTCTCTTGCTTTCTTTTTAGTTTTTTTTTTTGTTTTTTTAAATACATAAAACACATATTAGTAATATATATATATATATATATATATGTGTATATTTGGGCCCATGAATTGCTCGCGTTCGGTTTCCCCCGAGGCGGCTCCAGCTGCTGCAGCGGCTCACGGGCTGCGGGACGGCCGCCGGCTCCGCCGCGTGGCGCTGGCGGCCCGGAGCTGAGCGAGCCGAGCGAGCGAGGGGTTGGCCGGGTCAACTGCCTCGCACCAAGTTTGGAACCTGGACCCGCCTTGTTTTTGAGTTTTTGTTTTTTTTGAGGGCGAGGGGGTCGGTTTTGGTTTCTGCTTTTTTGGGGGGGAGGTCCCTCTTCTTTCTTTTTTTTGTTTTTTTTTGGGGGGGGGGGAATGGGGGTTCAGGTTTCTTTGTGGGGGTGTCCCGTTTTTGTTCTTCTTCTTTTTTTTTCTCCTATTTTTTTCCGGGGGTGGGGGTCCGTTTTTTTTTTTTTTGGGGGGGGGGGGTTCAGGTTTCTTTGCGGGGGGTCGTGTTTTTTTTGGGGGGGAGGGTCCTGGTTTGGAGCACGTTCCTTTTAACGGGACCGGGTCCGTCGAAGGTCAGGGTCCATGTCAAAAGGGTGGGAGCGTAGTTGGAAGGGAGCCAAGGAGCTGGGCATGTCCAAATGTGCCTCTTAGCGAGCTAATTGAGCGGGCTAGGAGTTTTGTCAGGACATGGGAAGGATCGGCGTCCTTGCTTCCCTTAACTTGGTGTACTTAAACGCTGTGCTAGTGAGCTCTTGCGTTTTCGTGCCCGGATCCTCTCATTCAGCAAAGGGTTAGTATGTTGAGTCAACCCAGCAAGGTGGTGCAAGTTGAGGGCAACATCTCTGTAATTAATCTTCCCGTCCGTCAGGATCGATGCGAAGGGGGGCAGTCAGCTTCCCAAGTGCTCCCCAAGGCAGCTCCTGTCATGAAAGATCTGATTTGGAGCCCTTTTTGTGTTGGTTGTGTTTTTATGTGTTGACCCCTTGAGGTGTGTTCTGACGGTGGTTTGGGTGTTCCCGCAAGTTGTTTTGTAGATTAGTTGGAAGCTATATTGTTTGCTTTTGGGAGTGATTTCTGTCCTTGCGTCTTCTCTGGGACTTCAGTTGTCGTTTGCATTTTCTGGAATGACTTCATAGCTCCTCCTGTACCTATTCTCTCCACGAAACGGCCCGCAATTGACAGATCCATGTAACCTCCGCACCTTCGGTTTTCAAAGGGGGCGCAGTTCAACTGAACATCCCAAGTGGCGGCTGACTCCACGCCTTAGCTCGCATTTCCCTGGGCTTCGCATCGTGGGCCTTCGGCCTTGAAGCCTTGCGAGGGGCACATAGCTCCTCGGCCCCGGCCCCGGCGCCTTCGCGCGCCGGGCGGTCAAGAAGGCTTGGGACCTGGAAGCGCCAGGAGAGTGACAGGGGGGGCCCTGCCGCAACTCCAAGTTTCAACCGGGGGAAACCTGACTTTTGGGGCGCTGCGGCCTTGGAGTCTTGAAGAAGTCCAGCCCAGGGTTGAGAAGTTGAGAAGCATTTCTACCATTTTCATTGTAGTTTACTTCTGGTTTTGCAGTTGCTGAATTTGCTGATGTGTAAAGCATAGCAATGTGTTGCCTTTTGCTTGCCTTTTACCCGTTGCGATGGTGCACACTCCATTTCCGGCAGGCCCTGGATGCCGCGCGCGCGCCATGCCAAAAGTGAGAGCGCGCGCCACCGCCTTTCGCGGGCGCACAGGGAGAACAGATGGCTCACAGAGCCAGGTTTTGGCCGGTGGGCACTTCCCCCCTTCCCGAAGTTTAGCCTTGGGCCCGTTATCGCCAGGGGTACAATGCGCGTTTGCGTTGACACGGGATCTGGACAACTTCTTGTGGTGCTTTCTTGGATGGCGGCACGCGCCAGGCTTCATGGCCCAGAGGTCAGTGGATATCACTCAGCCAGAAAGCAGCGTTTGAGCGATGGCGTTCAGCCCCTGTAGGATGTAGCGCCCACCCATCAATCAGCCCAAGAGAGCAGCCACTCCGAGAGAGCTGAGACCCTGCAGCCAACCATTGCCCCTGGAACAGATTGTGCCCTGAAATGATGCCCATGTGCAATGGTGAGATCAATGAATTTGTTTGCCCTAAACCGCATGCGGCTGGGACAAGGTTCACTTATGCTTAGCCGCTTGGCCGCTGGCCCCGGCGATCCAGATGCGTGTTTGAGCGTTTGATTGGCGGCAGCCTGAGCTTTGGGGTAGCCTTCGTGTGGCTTGGGGGTGCTGGGGAGGATCAGCTCAGCTCAGTTTGCGCATGAGACAGGTTCTCAAATGAGCTCCCCTCCGGAGGATGACTTGGAGGTTTCTTCGTGTTCTGGTTGTTCATTGCTTGGACCACCGCAGGTCACTGTGCAAAAGTTTGGTTGTTGCTACCGGGCATGTCCAGTGGCCGCATTGGTGCCAAGTGCACGTCATCAGGGGACTGGGCCTAACTCCGATTCAGTCAATTGCCTTGGATTTAGTTTGCACCAATTCAATCAGGCCCAGAGGGCAACTTCCATGCTTAGCCTTGGCTGTTGTCACACCTGCCAATCTGCTAGGTGATCGCTGCGATGGACGGGGATACCGGGGGGAATTTGCGTGTACCTTGCCAAGATGGTCTTGCATTCTGGCATATGGCCCTCCACGGCCCATGTTGATTTCGGGTCATTCACTTTTTGCATGCCCCTGGCAAGACACTTTGTCTCTTGCTCATGTGCTCGTCATGCGTGGGAAGCTTGCCGCGATTCTTCAGGGATTCATGACCTCTAGCCAGAAGCGACAAGGCGGGCCCATGTGCTTGGATAGTTGTACAGGGTGCTGGACCCATGACAGTCAAGGGGGCTAGCCGCTAGACCCAGCATGGCATCCGATACACGCTTCGGATTCTTCCCATAGGCCTGCTTGGGTTTTGCGGCTAGGGGCTCCAGACCTTCAGGGCTTCAAAGAGTCATGTGAAGCCGTGTGGATTGTACTGACACCAATGTTGCCCATGAAGCTGCCAGCACCTACCCAGTCCTACAATGATGGCTTGCAGAGAGCTTGGCACAAGCGATTGTGCAAGTTGCCGGTAGCAAGGGGGCGGCACATTGATCATTGGTTGCCCTTTGCCACAGTCAGCAGGCCACCGGGCAATTCCTGGGGTTTGGTACCGCCTGCGCGGCAGCATGAACCATGTCCCCCTCCTTGTGGCAAGCGAGCTGTGAGTGCGCTTCCTCGGCGCAGGACGTCACGGTAAGCGTCCATGACTGGAAGAGCCTTTCCCAGCAGCGCGCTCAGCCGCCAGGGCAGGGCAGCAGGGCAGCTGGAGAGGAGGGAGAGATGGGGAGGGTTAGACCAGATGTTATGTTTGTTGACTCACGCAGGGCGCGCATAGTTAGGATATTCTCTTGGGAAGGGGATGCAACGCCATTGGAAAGAGTCAGGAGGCAGGCAACCAGCACGCATGCCCAGCGGGGCGTCAACTAGCGTTTGCAATTATTTGATGAACGTGTTGGAAGGCCGGCCTTTGTTTGCTGGGAAGTGCCCTTGCATCCAAAAGGAACATATGTGTACTTCTAACATTTTTGACCGGAGTGCAAGCGATGCGATGCAGCGCGTCCGTCATGTGGTATTGCGCGTGATGCGGGCAGGGTCGTCACTGTGGCGTTGCCTATCCAAGAGATGCTGGAGTTTGCATGCATTGAGCTCGGCTATAGCCTACCAAGTCGGGCCTCATCCCATTTTGCTGGATCATCTTCGTTTCTGCCCAAGGTCGGCAGACCATTTCTGCGTTTTTCGCCTCGCGAATGGGGATGGTTGGGCAGTGAAAGCCGAGTAGTCCCCAGCAGTGCAGCCGAATGGCATGATTCGCGGCGCAAGGTCAGACCTGATCATGAGAAACCTCTACGTGGTCCTTCAGCCCCGCTCTGAGACACCCTCTTTGGGATGGGAAAGATGTTGCTCGGATGACCCAAGGCGCTTTTTTGGCACAGTTCATGGCATGGATCCGATGAATGAAACAGACTGCTTACATTTTTTTCCCATAGAACGTTCAGAACGAGGGGTACTTTTTTTCTCGCCCTTCTCGGTGCTTGATTGCTTGCCGAGGATTGGTCAGACTGTGCGGAAAGGCGGGCCGTGAATGGGAAAAGCGCAACACGGCAAAGAACATGGATCTGGCCCCGTCCCTTCAACTGCTTATTGGCGCTCCTTGAATGGAAATTCAAACATCCTCGACTGAATTTGTACCCAAATGACGTCACATCCGCCTCAATCGCAGTTTGGCGCGGGCCTAGCCTCCACGGCTTCCGGGGTTTTCTGTTGATTCTTGGCTATTGCCCGCTGGCAGGCGCCGGGCTCGTTGTACAGGCTGCGGCCTTCCGCTCTGGCTCGGCCAGGGCCCCAAAGAGCGCGGACTGAAATAATTACGATCGGCAGAGTGGTGTTGCTTGAGTTCGCGGTATCAATATGTGTGTTCGGTTAGGGCTGCCGGTGGGGTTGTGGGTGGCGTTGGGTAGACTCATCGCAGCTTGTACCAACGCCAAGCTTGGGGTCTCCGCCATTGGCCAGGGAAGCACGATTGCTGACGCTGCGCTTGGCCGCAGAGAGTTCGGCCAGGCGGAGATCCCTTTGATCCTGACCATCAAAAACAGCCAGACGGATACGACGATGTGCGCAGCACAGGGGAGAGTGCTTGGGGAGGGGTGGAATGCAGGTTGAAATCAAAGGAGCGGAACCAAGCATAGGCAGAAGTTTCGGAAACCGTGCGCACCATGCTTGGGCATTGGTCTTGCAGTGCTTTGGAGTGCGAGGTATGTGCGGAACATCCCCATGTCTGCCGTTTGCGACGCTGGAGGTTTGCAGCACAGATGGCTAGCTGTGCAGCTGGCGTGCTTCTCCACGCTTTCGGCGATTGCTGATCAAAAGGGTGGACAACCCGGGCAGTTGTACAAGCCATGTCTCAGTTTCCCCAGGCAAGAGAACCAAGGTCTCAGTTTCCCAAGGCAAACCTTTCGACCCAAAGGTTTTCAGCAGTACAAACTATGCACAATGCAAGAGAACCAAGGTCTCAATTTCCCCAGGCAGACCTTTTGACCTTTCGGTTTTCCGGGTTTGCTCTATATCTAGTCAAGAGGCCAGGTCCTTTGGGCAAGTGAGAGCTGCTGTCATCTGGAATTTACCTCAGGAAGGGGAAAGCGGCACGCGTCCCCGAAAATGTCGGGTGTTCTTTGCTTGCCGAGTTAAACTCGCCGATTTTCGCATGTTCAAGACGCTCGCCATCGCTCGCCAATTCAAGAACGGAAGCCACAGCTTGGGCAAGGCGCGTTTTCCCCACCGGCGGCATTTTTGCCGCGTTTTTGCCGCGCCAGCGCGCCAGGTGTACCCGCCGGGAGATCCCCAGAATCTACACTTCGACCAGGGGATGCCCAGAGATGGCGCGCCCCAGGCGCAGCTTTCGGCCATAGTGACAGGTCTGACTTCCGGTGCTCAACGGAGCCATGAGACGTCACTCTTTTTTGCTGGTCCTTCACAGAAGCCAACAAAAAGAAGTCCAACGCTGGAGATCTATGTAGGTTTGCCTTGGACGTAGAACCATGAAACCCTTCACTTCAGCTGGTCCTTCATTGTATGAACCAACAAAAACAAGTCCAACTCTGCCGGGAGATCTACTACTGTGGATGGACAAAATCCTGCACCACTTTGAAACCAAGGGAAACCATTGTTTGTTGGTATTTACAGGGGAACCGAATCATTCTAGGGTTTCTGAACGGTGGTGCCTAAGAGGATTTCGCGTCCATCCACTGTATGCTTTGGCCAGCCTCTCAATCAATGAGTTCTTTTTTTCCGCATTGTGTCCATTGCAGATCCAAAGCCCCCGGGCCGACGGACGAGGTTTGCCTCAGCATTGCTGTGCACGAGGACCTCCTCGCTACAGTGGCTGGGGTGCTTGGAATGAAGAACTGTTGATACGGTCATGCATGTTTATGGGCGGATATGACAACAACCCATACTATGGATGGACAAATTCCTAAACCAGTTGGAGTGTATGAAGCCCGAAGACTACGGACAAACGACGTAACAACTGATGCAGAAGTTTGTCCGTCCGCAGTGCTTCTGGCGGATCATGTTGTATCACATCACAGGGAAGGGGCCTAGGGCTTAGAGCAAACCTGCGTGTAACAGGCAACGGGGTTGGTGAGAAAGGCTGCCATCTTGATTGCCCCGCAGTGGCAAGCCATTGACATTGTTACAATGACACCTTATTGCAGCACAAGTCGCCGTTGCTCATCCATACTCCTCTCGACCCAGGTTTGGGCACCAAATGTGGTCATTTTTCCGCGGCCGGTCAATACCCTTTTCACCAAGGCGTTGGACACGCAGGGGTTCCCTTTTTGGGGGGGTGCATGACCCCTGGGTCAAAGTCATTGGCCTTTCAGCTTTTTAGCGTTTAGTGGTTGGATTTCCGTTCAACCCACTAAAAGTGACGCGTTTCGCGGGGGATCGGATCGAGGACAGCCCAGAACAAGTGGAACCCCCTTTTTCCCATGGCAAATGGGCATCCGAGAAATTTAAGGATTTTAGACAGCAGTTGACCATAAGGATTCCTCTCAGACCAAATTTGGAAATCCGAGGCCAACGTCGCGCCTTTCGGCGCCCCGGATCCGGAATCGATGTCGGGCGCCTTCGGCAGCTGGCGC